AAAAATAGACCACATTTTCAAAATTGCGATACAGTTGTTACTACTATGGGAGAGATTTGAACGTCCTATTTTGGAGCACGCCAGGCGACCTACTTTCGAGCCACGCCCACTTTTTGGCAAAAATGAAAATGGCCATCTAAATTCATTCGATTTTGTTAAATTTTGGTATGTAAATGTCTAAGGCTAGCCCCAAAACAGTTGTTACTCCTATGGGAGAGATGACAACATCCTATTACATTTATTTCGTCTAACTGGTTAACAACTCTACAATCATACCTATATACGTGTAATATTGTGTTTTAGATTCTTCGTTACAGTAATTTGACTGGAATATTTTATTGTTTTTATTTGCGCGATATTCGAAATAACCAAAATGGCGATCATTTAGGCGTAGCGCCATCTCTCGTCAAGATTATAGACTTTTAGATCTGAAACGTTTATTTTCGCATCAAAACGTATGCATATATCATTATCAAGAGTATATAATGGGAGTTCTCCCTCTTCTATCACACCCAAGGTGAGCTACAGTGTCATTGACACTTTCATTGTTGTTTATCTTGACGTTTTGCTTGCTGTAAATGAGGAAGGTATGCTGACAATGATGGCGAATCGTAATAGCATTTACATTTAACGTAGATTTCTTTCTGTGGATGAGCTAAAGCTCCTAATTTTATGTATGCTGATCAACTGTTCCCAGGTGACACAGACTATGAGCTAAGTCCCCAGAAACTCAAAGGTCAGCGTCAGACGAAAGCCAGCGAATTACTCGAAGAGAATAGCATTACAAACACGGGAAGACGCATGAGTGCAAGCGAATCTACGCGACTACAGGGATCCTCTGTGCTTGGCAGAAGAATTAAACTGAAAGAGTCCCACGAAAGTGAAAACCTTGACAACATGTCAGTGAGCGTTGGTCGGGGGAGCTTAACGCAACAGCTTCTCAAACAGGGCCTATTAACACCAAGAATGTTATCAGATTTGCAGAGGGAGTGGGCAAGCCAGCAGGGTGGCAGACTGGATGATGACCAAAGCACTGACAATGACCACAAAAATAGTGGCAGTAAGAGTAAGTATAAACGGACGATACGCAAGCCAAGAAAATAAGGGTGCGCTGGGACACGATTTACTCCACCTTATTTACGTGACGTTGACCAAAAAGCTCCATTGTGCGACGCTGAAAGAAAATGGTCGATGAGACAACCTCGTTAGTTCGAATGAAATGTACGTAGCAAATTCATCAACCTTTTGCTAACTGTCGAGAAACTTATTCCTGGAGGAGCCTAGGAATATGCCTTTGAGAGGGAAGTGGAAACTGCAAGTGTAAGAATTTAGAAAGATGTGGCTAATCTTCAACTGTCATTGCCATGACACGGTCAGAACAATCGATATTGCTAATCCAATCACTCGCTCATTAAAGTGATACATAGTATTCAATGTGCTACAACTACTGTTTTGGCTCCATTTTTATTGTATATAGAATTTAGGTTTAGACAGATATGCTATTGTACATTAGTCGTCGCCTTTTGTTAAAAGTATTAAAATTATAAACAGTTATAATGTGTTTAATTTAAAAATTTGGCAATATAGGTGCATCATTCCCTATCACTATATAACATTTTTTATATAGACTGTATCTATAACTTTTAAATAACATATAGCTTAGCAGCAACAGAAGAATAAATACAGTTTATGTATAACACATATAGTCTATCACAGACAACATCCCTTGAGTTGCTCAGCCCAATAGCTGTACGGCCAGTTCTATTGGGAGTGACATTACAGAGGCAATCAATCGTATTCATTCTCTGTTAGAATTTCGTTATCACTCGGAGGCATAAGTTGTGGTTGCATGGGCGATTCCTTGCGCGAACTGGTGACATTGCTGAGCAGGGTTTTCATGCGCTGCTTGACGTAGTACAGCTCTTGCTGCAAGCTCTCCAGATGCTTGGTGGTCACTGGCTGGTGCTCGTTCTCCATCTTACACCGCTTGATGTAGCGCTGTACGAGCTGACTCATCAGGAGCTGTATAAGCAGATGCAGATGTGTCTGACTCTTAACTACACGCAGCCACCGTGAGAGTACTCACTCCTAACACATCTCATTTATCACGGCTTCTGTTTTCTCACTCCCCCACACCCACCACCACAGCTCCTGCCCCCTCAATCTCCCATATCAAGAGCGTATTACCTTCCTAATACGCTCTTGCCCATATCCTTCATCACAGCTCTTGCTCGCTCACTCCCCCATATCCATAATCACAGCTCCTGCACCCTCACTCCCCCACACATACTGTCACAGCACCTGCCCCTCCCTCCCCCCCACACCCATTATCATAGCTCTTGCCCCCCACACACACCTATTATCACGGTTCGGCTGGCTCCATCAATCCCAAATCTACCAAAAAAAAAAAAAAATACATAGCTCCCTTGCGTCCTCATCGCTCGGCCACACGCCCAGCAATCACAGCTCCGCTCCTCCTCGCGACCACAGCCTACGTATCACAGCCTCCTGGCCGCCTCACTCGACCCTACACCTGCTAATACAGGCTCCCTGCCCCTCATCTCCGCCACCACCTACTATCAACAGTCTCCGCTCTCCTCACTCTCCCACACCACTCATCACAGCTCCTGCCCCTGCACCCCCCACACCTACTATCACCAGCTCGCTGCTCCTCAACTGCTCCCACACCGCACCATACAGGCTGCCTGCCCCTGACTCCCGCACACCTGAACTATCACAGCTCCTGCTCCCAGCTGCCTCACACTACTTCCTGCCCCACCCCCCACACCTGCTATCACAGCCCATGCCTCCCTCACTCCCCACACCGCACCTACAGGCCTGCTACTCAGCACCACATCCAAGCTCGCTCCCCTTCACTCCCCAACACCTGCTATCACAACTCACTGCCCCTCACTCCCACACCCTCTAATAATCACAGGCTGCCTGCCGCCTCACTCCCCCCCCCACCTAACTGATCACAGCTCCTGCCCCCTCACTCACCCCCTCCACCTACTATCACAGCTCCTGCCCCCTTTCACTCCCGCACACGCTACTATCCAAGCAGCTCCTGCCCCTCACTCCCCCACAGCCGCACCATCACACTCCTGTTCTGCCTGCAACTCTCACCACACATACTGTCACAGCTCGCGCCCCTCACTCGCACCCCCCCACCTACCTATCACCAGCGTCCTGCCCCCACTCAGCCCCCACACCTACGTATCAACAGGCTCTGCCCCTCATCCCCCACACCCACCATCACAGCCCTGCCCCCTCAACTCCCCCACACCTACTATCACAACTCCTGCCCCCCCCACTCCCGCACACTCTACTATCAACAGCTCCTGCCCCCTCACATCCCCAACACCTGCTATCGACAACTCCTGCCCCTCACTCCCCACACCTCACCATCTATTCAGCTCCTGTTCTCGCATCTCTTCCCCAACCTACTATCACAGCCCTGCCCACTCACTCACCACCCCTACACCTACTATCTACAGTCTACCTGCCCCCTTCACTCTCGTCGTCCAACTATCCCTGCTATCATCTAGTTTCCTCGATCACTCTCACTTGCCCACCCTACGCATGCTATCACTTATGCTACTTCATAGTTTTTACCGGTCCTTTAGTTCATCTTATGATTCTAACAGCATAGCCTATTGCAGTAGACATCATCACATCACTCCCTTAGCATCCATCAAATATGACACTGGGTACCCGAGTAGCGAACGCCAACATTAAATGAAACAGAATAAAATGCATTATATAGGGTAACGATTTATACAGCTATTATGTCTGTGTGATTGCACATGTAATTGTAATTTATGCAGAGCACAGAGACATGCAGTGTTCACATTGTAGTGAATGTGTATATAGACCGCCGGGTGAGCAGCCAAATCTGCTTTAGTTTTCATGTTTTGTGACCCCATCGGCATCTACATGAAATAAAGCATAAGCTAATAGCAGTATTTGTGTAACTTAGTATGGCTCATAGGGTCTATGTCCCCCAGGGTAACTGGCGAACGTAACCCTTGCATTGATTTGATATGGTTAGGGTTACGGAATTTAGGTTAGGGTTCGGGGTTAGGAGTAGGCGTAGGTGACTCGATCCCTAGACTCGTTTTAGTGGAATGAGGCGCGGTATGGTCCGGGCAATATTAATATAGTACCGCCGGGTACCGTTCTTGCGGCAGTACCGCCGGGACATAGACCTCTGCCAGCCATAAATTAGTATGGCTGCAGAGGGTCTATGTCCCCCAGGGTAGTGCGACAACGTACCCTGGTACCAGAGCATATAAATCAACGTGATTTATATGCTCTGCTGGTACTATCTAATATGGCCGGACCGTACCTCGCCTACTCCTGATATATCCACTAACGAGTCTAGGGAGTCCACCTACGCCTACTCCTAACCCGGTTAGGGAGTAGGCGTAGGCGACTCCCTAGTGGATGCCAGGAGTAGGCGAGGTACGGTCCGGCATATTAGACTAACCTAACCCTAACCCTAACCATATCAAGATAGTTACCAGGTACGTTCGGTATAACCGGACCGGACCCAGGGTACGTTCCAGCAGTACCCTGGGGTACATAGACCCTATCAGCCTTAGGATGTTGCGCAATTCGAGTTTGCCTAGCTCGTAGAAGTATACGCGTACATCAACACAAAAATTTAGTGCTCGTCCGGGATTTGAACCCGGGATCTCCCGCTCCAAAGCAGGTATCATTGCCGCCTAGACCAACGAGCCAATATGCGATTGCATCAGGAGTCTATCAATATCAATATCAATATTGATAGACTCCTGATTGCATCGTATGACAGGTTTAGAGTTCCTTAGCAGTTGATATAGAAATTGCTGGCAGAAACACACAGCTTTCTTTAGTGAGAAAGCGATTGATTTCCATATATGGTATATCACAATAAATAAATGAATTTTTAAAAGAATAATAATATGCTGAAATAATAAAAACAATCCGTTAAATAAAGCATAAAGAAGTAAATTGGGCTTCGTCCGGGATTTGAACCCGGGACTCTCCGCACCAAAGCGAGAACATGCCCCTAGACAACGAGCGCAGTATGAATGTGCGTCGTATATGACAGGTTTAGTTCCTCAGCAGTTGATATAGAAGATAGGCTGGCAAGAAAAGCGCTAGCTTTCTTTAGTGAGAAAGCGATTGATTTCCATATGGTATATCACACTAAATAAATGAATTTTTAAAGAATAATATATATGCTGAAATAATAAAAAACATCCGTTAAATAAAGCATAATGAAGTAAAATTGGGCTCGTCCGGGATTTGACCCGGACTCCTCGCACCCTAAGCGAGAATCATACCCCTAGACCAACAGAGCCACTTCGAGACAGTTTGGCTTACTTGCTCTACTGTCTCATAAAACACGAACGCGGATGTTGATGTCACAGTGTGTGAAATGAATTCGCTAGTATCGCCAGTGCTTGGATTACTTGCTCATAATATAGAGGGACAAGCACTAAGGTAGATTAGACAGTGATATGGATATTTGAAAACAGTTGCTAGCTCTAACACTAGCGCTGCCCCAAGGAGCTAAATATAACAAGGAGAGGAAGCGGATTGGCTGTGGTGCTTTCGCCCTCAAGGGCGCCATCTAATTGGACCATAATCAGCTGAAACGGCTGTGCAGAGCCGAACACAAGGGAAAATAGGACACTAATCTGTTATAGGGTCTCTGCCGAACCCAAATTGCGCCAGATATGGCGGCGCTTCTAGCTCTCCTTGTTATATTTAGCTCCTTGGCCTGCCCTAGCTAGCTCAGCAGCAGTTTCATGCACTGGCAGCGGCATCAAGTCCGCCCCCACCACACTCACGGCTACAACACACATACCTGTGTGGCTGTGGCCACAGGCACTTGGAGCGTTTCAATAAAATATAATGCTAAATTAAATACGAAACGATCTATTTACTAACAAAGTCTTAATATTTCTCTATCTCCTTTTCACGCTATTATTTGCCGACAATTATAGCGTCGCGGCGGCAGCCAGCGTGTGTTGCAGATGAGCATTTGGACGGCATTTACAGGAAATTGTCGGCAATAATAAGGTGAGAGAAAACATTAAGACTTTGGTAGTAGGCCTAAATAGATTTCGTATTTATTTAGGCATTATATTTTATTGAAATGCCTGTGGCTGTGGCTGTGCTGTGGCTGTGGCAGAGCGATGCGATGTGTGCTTGAGTTAGCTCTGCAGGCGAGCGCGCTATAAAGTATTAGAGCTATAGTATATACACGTTCCTTATACCTGGTAGTTCTCTGCATTTTTAGTACCACTGCCGTGAGAATAGTCTTCCTCATCGAAGAATTTCTGAAATTCGTAAGCAATAGCTGAAAAAACTCTATTTGACAATGTACACCTGCAGACCTGTACGGCCGGCGCGTGTATGTATCACTGACTGTAGGTCTACCCCTGCAACCAGTATTAATATTAACCTAAAGAGTATATAGTCTACTATACTATAACTATAGTATGGTGGGTAAAAGGATCGTTAATTGGGATGGCGCGCGCTTAGAATTCATTTTCGCAAATGTATTGCGTGGCGTGCTCAGAGTGCAGTCATCTATATAATGTCACACACAGATGACCGATACTACACACGATGACAATTCTGGTATACCATACTGTTGCTGAGAGGGTCTATGTCCCCCGGGGTACTGCCGGAACATACCCTGCATG